ATAAAACACTGGGAAGAGTTTAAAATATTATCAGAACTGGAGGAATTAGCGCTGAAAAGGAACAACTCGATTATAATCCTTGAAATGGTAGGAGTCTATTTTGTTTATTTCGAGGTTTATTTCGTGTTTGCTGTACGAATACATTTTATGCCCTTGGTACGGTATGTAGTTTTGCTCGGTTTTGCGAAGACGTGACCGACTATTTAAGGCTTTACATCATCGTTTTAACTTCCAAAAGAGTCCTTAAAAGTGTAATTCGGAGTTTTAATATAACAAATATCACTTTAAAGGTTTATATATAGTCGACTGCAATCACTGCATGAATTTAATAATCGAAAAACAACATTCGACGTTCACTGCTTGGTTATTTATATTATTTGGGCTGTTTTGATGTTTTGAAGCTTTAGCTATAATGAAGTATTAACTCTCACTTAAACTGTGAAAGTCTATAACTTAATGCAACGGAAAGCAGCAGGAAAACGGGTGATTTCACTTCACCTTTACGACTGTGTTTGTTTCCTAAATATTTGAAACATCAGCTATCGGCTTTACATTTAGGACATTTCATAATATTGAAGGTTAGGTCTGGCTAGCTCGGGAAATATTTTGCTTCGTTTGCTTCGAAATGGCGAGGGGTTGCTGCATGCATGTATTTCTAGTTAAATTTATATTTACCCAAACCGGTAAAACAATTTTTCTTGAACCCGTGTGACAAACACGAAATAATTAATTCCGTGGGCCTCCTGAACAACGCTCGAGTAGGTCCTCTGTCACTTGGACAGACTCAGGTGTAACTGTTGTACAAACGCTAATGTTTGCGTGTGACGAGAAGCTTAGCCAGTGCGCGTTAGCTCCTCGAAAACTTGGAAAATGGAAGGCGATTATACAAGAAAAAATACCGCAAAAATTTGTTCCCGGCTGAGTTTATGATCAGATTATCTTGAGATTTGTCTGATTTGAGTTGGGGGGGGGGGGGTAAGTGCCTCTCAAATGCGCAATGGCTAAGCTTTTGGCAACGCGTTACACTTTTTTGGCCGAGTGAGACCTCTGTCCAAGTAGGTCCTCTTTGCCTCCTCACAGTTTAATTTAGTGAGTTTGGCAAAGCCAACGAGAACGGCTACGGCTACGTCTAAACCGCGTAAAAGTCTGACGCGGGATAAATTTCCACTTTGTCATGTCTTGTTGAGGTTCTGCCGCTACGCCATTTTAATAATTAATTATGGATTAATAATAATTAATAATTATTTTAATAATTATAATAAGAAATTAGAAAATCTTTGTCTAGAACGCAATCGGGGACTTAAACCACATCTGAATAAGTATAGTCTTCACCTCAACCTGCGAGGAACCACAATGTTAGCGGGTAACTTCAAACGCTTTTTAAACCATAAAGTAAATTGAAATTCAGCTGCGGTCAGAAATGATTTAAGCAATTTAAATTTTGAGACAATCGTGAGACATTAACACTTAAGATCATAAAGCCGAAAGCCAAACCATTTATAGTTAATAGTTGGTATCGACCACCGAATAGTTCACAAGAATGCCTTAATATCCTGGTTAAATATGAAGTTAATAATAATAATAATAATAATACCTTCCAAAAATTAGTTACCCAAATGGACTCTGAAAATAAGGAAGTTATTTTGATTGGGGATTTCAATTGCGACTGGTCTCTTCTTGCTAATAATGAAGCCAATGTTCACACAAATATGCTACCCGAAATTATGAATACGCTTCAATTCGAGCAATTAATTATTTATACAAAAACAACTGACTTACGTTAACAACTAAAACACTAATCGATTTATATTGCCTCAGGAGTTATACATTTGGGAATCAGTGACCATAGCATGATTTATATCAAAAGAAGTATTTCCATTCCCCGTGGAGAACCTAAGACTGTCAAAACCAGGCAATTTAAGAAGTATAATGCCATAATTTTTAAAGCAGATATTTCCGCACAATTAAACGACGAAATATTTTTGAACAGATCGCTAGACCCTAATGTAATGTGGGAAAAATGGAAAACAATATTTTTAACTATTGCCCATATTCATGCTCCACCGATTACTAAAAGAGTAAGAAGCCAATATGCCCCGTGGATGACAAATAATATTAGACAAGCCATGGGTCAAAGAGATTACTTGAAGAGAAAGGCAGTAAAAACCGGATCGAAACAAACAATTTCATGACGGGTATAGGAGAACTCGAAACAATTTAAATAGGTTAACTAAAAATACAAAAGTTGAATATTTTATGAATGCCTTGAATAAATGCGAGAGTAATCGTAAAGAAATGTGGAAAGCGGTTAATGAACTCAGTGATAAAGCTCAAAAACTACCATAATTTCTCAAATCCATCAAGACGATCAAGTGTTAACAAACAAACTTGAAATTGCAAATGCTTTAAAAACTTATCGGCCCAAAACGTCGGCTAAGTCGGCCCAAAACTGGCTAATGAAATACCAAATAGCGTTAGGACGCCGGAATCTTATTTAACCCACACAAGTACAGAATTTTCTATGCGAAATGTTTCTCAAATAGACGCTTACAAATTACTTTCTGTAATGAAAACATGTAAATCAGCAGGTCATGATAGAATCTCTCCAAAACTGCTCAAAGATGCAGCTGAAGAAATAGCTCCCTCATTATCAGCGATATTCAATGCTTCAATGAACTCGGGCATATTTCCTGACGACTTTACGATCGCTATAATCTCGCCAATACATAGATCTGATAGCAAATTAATATGTGGCAATCATAAACCTATTTCTGTTTTATCATGTATTGCAAACATTTTTGAGAAATTAGTCTCAGAACAACTTTTCACGTACTTAGAGTCGAACGATTTGCTTATTGAACAACAAGCAGGATTTCGGAGGAAACACTCCACTCAAACATCTCTCCTCCGTGCTACAAACCAATGGCTACTAGACATGGATGGAGGGTGCTTGAATGGAGTTATTTTCCTTGACCTTAAAAAAGCCTTTGACTGTGTAGAAATGGACTATTATGGAATAAGAGGCCGTGATCTAGCTTTGTTTAAGTCCTATCTTACCAATATAGGATCTAAATTATGGATAGATCAAACTATGTCTAAGGAAAGACTAGTTAAATGTGGTATACCACAAGGCTCTAACTTAGGCCCCATGCTGTTTCTGCTATATATAAATGATCTTCCGAATTGTCTATCATCATCCTCGGCATATATGTTTGCTGACGAAACAAATATTTCCACTCAAGGTAAAACTGAATTTGAAATACAAGAGCACTTAATTAAATATCGACTTGGAGAATGTGCACTAATGGCTAACTTCTAATAAACTTACCCTTAATAAAAAGAAAACAGAATATATGGTTGTTGGTTCACGACAACGCATTTCAAACATTTTAGCAAACCCTATAATCAATAACTTGGTGACTCAACGATAAGGCGAGTCAACAAAACTAAAACGTTGGGGGTCATCCTAGATAAGCACCTCTCGTGGGACGAGCAAATACAAAATATCGTTTCAAAATGTTCATAAAGTATAGGAATGATTCGACGAATTAAGAAATTTGTTCCCCAATCGACCTTGTTAAAAATGTACAATGCTATTGTGTTGTCACATTTCGATTACGGGCAGAACATATGAAACCAGGACTAAAGATGTTCTAAATTAAAAGAGCTAAATTGGTCTCCATTAAGAAAACGACTATATAAAACGACTATATAAGAGAAACAAATATATTTTTATGCACAAAATCAAAAATAACACCATGCCAAAATCAGTTACACAAATGTTTCAAATCAAGAAGAACCAAGCGTGTCAGTTATACGCAGTAATAATGTGAAATTTTCTCTGGGAAAACCAATAAGAAATTTTATGAAAGAGTATTTGTTACTCGGCTGTATCCTTATGGAACAGCTTACCAGATGAAACTAAGGAACAAAAGAGCCTTGAAAAATTCTAATTCATTCTTGACCACAGCTGATGTTTCTAGGTAATGAATTTCTGAATAGTATATGTAGGCTATAATTGTAGTAAAATAGTTGTGTGCGATATAATTGTTAATTAATTTAATATTTGTATTATAATTGTAGTAAGTAGTTCCCAAACGGCTCCTCGAAAAGCAGGAGCCTATACGTGCCCTGAAGGACTACCGTTTTCAAATATTTTTAAATAATAAAATAATAACAATAATAATCAAATTCGCTCGCGCGACCGTATAATGTATGTATTTTTCGATGTAATTGCGGTGTATCGATTATTTTCTCGGAATTAATATAATTATCTAGGTACAAGATTATTCTAGAGGTTAAAAGGTCTTAATTTCGAGTGGTATTATACACACTTCAAATTCAAGCTAGGAACAGTTGATGGAAAAATGAGTCAACTATAGGTCCTCCGGCAGGAATCGAACCTACGCTTTTGCGATGCCGGTGCAATGCTCTTGCCACTGAGCTACAGATGTAGCCGGAGGACCTATAGTTGACTCATTTTCCATCAACTGTTCCTGGCTTGATTTTGAAGTGCGTACAGGGTGTGTACAAAAACAATTAGACAACTCGCTTCGTTGTCTAATTGAAACACGCTTCTCAACCAATCAGCACGCGTGTACTATAGATGTTATATTACAATTATATTTATTCCCTGAGGGGGAGTATGGAGCATATCCAAACATGGAAAGAACAGTTCATATGAGACCGGGCGGGCTCGCGCTTTTGCTGGCCGCTTGATGTTTTCATATGAACCTGTTTAAGACGAGATCTCGCTTCGTTCAGCTGCTGACTATTTTACAAATATTGCGAAATAATATTTATATAATAACATGCAATTTCATTGTTCAAATCAGGAGGAATTCCTCCACGAGGAATTTAAAAGCACTCGCGAGTTTTTGGCGGGATTCTCAAAACGATATGGTTGTTTCACTGTAGTTGTTTTAGAAAACAATTCACAAATGTTTTTCGTGCAGAATAGCGTGATTTATTCGACTGCGGCTCGTTTTTTTTACACTTTTCAAAAGTCTCGCAACATCCCTCGTGCATGGATCACGTTATCCTGCACGGAAAACCATTGTAATCCTTTGGTGAAGCGAGTTCCGGCACTGCTGAGCTAGTCCGACTAAACCGTGCTGACCCGTCTCATATTAACCCGTCCTTAGTATAATAATAAAGCCATTAGGAAAATAAAAATACCCCTGTTATGGATGCGTTGAGGGTAAATTAAATGTAACTTGTACAGTTGTAATTGATCACTTTGTTAATGCTTGCTGCTATGTATGTGTTTTACAGAAAATCTCCAAAAATCTTCTTGGTGTCATTTCCTTTCTTAACTTGTCAGCAACAATATACAGTTCATCCTGTTTAAGTTCGGCTAAAAGAAGTAGTACTGACTGTAGAATTTTACTATGTCCTAAATTTTTACCCGACCTAGTTTCCTGAAAATCAGTATTCGTTTCAGGTTTTGTGTTCATGACAGGAGAGTATCTTTCCTTAAACTGAGTGTAATTCGAACTTTGCTTCAAGTCAGGATTACCCAAATATGTATAAATTTCAGCATCCTTTTTATTTCCGGGTTTAATCCAATTTGTTCCGCTTTTCCATGACCTTAATTCGTGTTTGCCATCTCCTATGATATCAATCCAAATATTTGCGATCCATTTTTCACCATCGGATACACAATCGCCATGACTGGAAAACGCATCAAGTGCACCCATCCAAGAAGTTTTGGTATTCAATAAGTGATTATACCATAGAAGTGCTTTGCCTTGCTTTGGTTTAACAAGTAGGTTGCATTTGTTACAGCTTTTTGCCAAATTGCATTTCTCAAGATACTCTCTAGGTAAGTCCTAAACGTAAAAATTAATGCATAGTTCACCAGTTATGGATATTCTTGTAAGTTTGAATGGTGAACAGCATTTAATTATGCATTATGAACAGCATTTAATTATGCATTTTGTTCAAAACGCCCCGCCTACTCAACACTTAATTTACCGAAACGGCACGGCTTTGTGCTCGCGCTTTGTATTGGTAGCATGAGCACTAATAAAACTGGGCACGAGTACCAATTTTAGTGTAAACGGGGCTTTATAGTCAGTGGCTTCGACAGGGAAAGGACAAGGGGGGATGTGTGTGTACTCCAAGCTATCTTCATGCACTGACCATTGTCGAGATAATTCTAAACCTGCGAAGAAGATTTAAAAGACTTGCTGATGATGTAATTTTCCACTACCGTTTTAGCTGCACTAATAGCTATGTTTTGCTGTTTCTATATAAGATTATCGTTGTTCTGGTAACTTTACATTATATACAGTATATATGTCCACGTATTCGATATTATCAATATTGATTTCATCGATGATTCGATATCATTACGACATGACTTGCCTTCTGAGAAAATGTCTTGTTGTCAGCCAAGGGGAAACATTTCTCTCCACCTTCGTAGTTGTCAGTCAAGAAAACCATTATTGTTAAATACCTAGAATTTTTATGAGCATAGATTTCACAACTGATGAAGATGTTCTAAACAACATAAAAGATGTTCTAAATCCAACCATAAATGTTTCTATTAGACACCTTCAAAAGCTTCAAATACGCAGCTATATATAATATCTACAAGTTTTCTTCAGATATCCCAAAATAATATTATACTCAATTTTTATTATCACTCGCTTCATTAGTAGCAAATAAAAGCATGTACTTTTCGAGAAGTGTTACTGTGGGCGCATAAACTTTGGTCAGCGGAATCAAATGTGTGGAAATAAATAGCAGTTGCCGTGAAAATTGAATAAACGTGGATGATTACTTTTGATTTTCTATCAAAATATTTTGCCAATATGTATACAAAAGTATTGGAATTTATAGTAGCTTCAGTTGCATTTCTCTGAAAAAAGCCTCCTGCTTCATGCCTTTCGAAAATTGCTAAAAGTTATTAATGGTGGTTGCTGCTGTGTCTGAATTAATAGTTTTTCATATCTTCCGTATCAAATTTGTTCAGTGCACATGCAATCAGCACATTTTTGAAATAATCAACGTGGTGCTAATAAAGGCGTATATGGGAACGCGTGCTTTTTCTGGGAAGTGGGTGTAAATTAAAGAACAGATCGACTTATATCGAGCTAGTTTCCTTCGATTATACTGCGATTAGTGCGTGTTAACGGTATTTGGCTGTTGCATGCGCTAGTTTTGAGAATAATTTAATTGGGAGCTGCATGCAGGCGAGTTCTTTGCCTGGGGTAGATTGTTTCGCACCGGTTTCACATGTTCTAAAACACATGGGTTCTAAATTTTAGAACGTCGCCATTAAGCGTCGCTAGATTATAATCTAAATAAGACGCCTGTTCTGGCGTTAACTTCCGCGTGCCGCGCACGTGCCAGTCTTCAATATAAAGCTTCTGAACATAGACAATACAGTTCATTTAAGAGTTATTCTGCGAACTCGAGTCGTATATGAGCTGATAGCCGACGAGGCGCCGAGTTGGCTATCGGCCATATACGACAAGCGTGAGCAGAATAACTGTTTTATTATATACACACAAACTTTGTCGCCTTTTCGGTGCATTTTGGTGTGCTATTATCAACTAAAGCTTGGATTTCTATTTCACTCAACTCCCAAATCTTTCAGCCATTTTGTTTACTTTCTCTACTAGACAGATATGAGCTAATATCTGTCTAGTAGCCCACCAATGAAATTGCAGCATACCTCATATCTGGCGCTTGTGTATAATTTTTAATAAACTCATTTATATGCCTTGCGAACCTAAATGTTATTCGATCGCGAATTTCAGAAGCACATCGTACTTTTAAAAGTATAGAAGTTCAATTGTTTAAAAAAATGTAAAACAACCGCAAAATACGTTCACTTTGTCTTAAACTTTGGAATTCGTGCTTATATTAAATCTTCAATCCTTTCCAATTAACTGCGACGTTTCAACGCACCCGTAAACGACCACATCTTGTTAAACGGCGAAATAGCAGCGATATTATTAAAATAGGACCAAAATCTACTTGTATTAAATATATTCTTATCCCAATTAAATCTAAACTTAATCAAACAACATCAAAAGAACGGTTTATTTGTTCCTCTTGGAGGAATTGCCGTATCATGCGAGCGAAATCGAATCGCGCATTAGAAAATTAGTCTGAGATTTCGAGCTGTGCACGACAACTCTTGGGAGACAAAACTGTAACGTAGATAAATACGGTCATATACACTATATACTCAAATACTAGTATATTTCGCGCAAAAAACACTTGCGACGACGAAAAATATTGAGAAAAAAATTAAAACGAAAAAAAAACAAACAAAACCGAGGCAAATTTTCAACTCCGTCGCTGACGCCGGAGTAATAATCTAAGCGACGCTTTAGTTAGTTACCAGGACCGCCGAGAATGTAAATAACAACATGGCGGCTCGCCGAAGTGCCATGTCATTCACATCACAGTGTCCAACGCGTTTTGAAGCGGCAAAAATCAGTGTCTTAAGTGTTTCAACGTCGGGAAAAAATCAAGAAAAAGCTTTCTTTAAAAGTTCGTAGAAATACAATTAGTGACAGAAGTGTTCATAGACAATATGGGTAAGGAGAGGCATCAATTGGAATTATTGGAATAATACCATGATCACCTCGGGTTCTTTTGTTCTCACCGGGTGGTTTAATTGCGATATTCCCGGCTTTAGCGGGCAGAACTCTAAATATCCCGGCAAAGCCGGGCAGATTTCTAATTTCTCCCTGATTAAAATTCATGAGCCAAAATTCGAAGACACGACAAAGAGTTTTCTTAATATGTTTTACACAACAAAGAAAATAATTACACAATACTCCTACTATCAATTAATTATGAAAAAACTAGTTTCACCTCGGTGATCATGGTATACAAACTGATACCATGGTTTTTAAGAATATATGATTAACTCTCCTGCAAACCCTGGACTGTTAGTGAAAATCCCTCGGGACGCCTTCGGGCTTCGCCCTCTGGCTTTCCCTCGGGACTTTCACAAACAGTCCTCGGTTTGGGGGAGATTTAATCACTATATTCTTAAAAACCATGGTATTATTTATAATAGTTCTTGATTATTCACAGTTAGTCTATTTATTGTACACCTGTTTGCAAAATAGAAAATACTAATACAGTTTGAAAATACTAAAATATTTCATAATACACCAGGGATAATAAAAATAACACACAAGGGAATACAAAGCAATTGCTTTAGAGAATATTTCATCTCTTATTAAGAGGAGATTTTTTATTATGTCGCGTATTTTGGCCGGAAAACGCTCAAAACCTAAAATCTTTCGGCGTATACCCACTCAAAATCCATTTATATTACCTTTAATCTTTAGATTATGTTGTGAACTAATTTTTAAACTGTATTTTGTGAATGCAAAACACCAAACAAAGGAGTTACTACAAAATATAATGCGGCGGCGCTATCAACAATGTTATAATGTCAACGCCATTATAACTGAGTCTGAAATGAATACAAAAGAAGCTTCGATTCAAGTGTTATTTTTTTCTCGGCGTATCCTGAGAAATATTTTCATTTTCACAACATTTTGAGATTATACAGTAAACATACTTTGTGGATGCTTTTCAGGTTTGCAAAACATTTTTAATGCTGAAAATTTTAGTGTTGCATGAAGATACAACCGAGGTTTTGAGCATATATTACGCGACATTATATAAATTACAGTGATATGGAAGACCAAAGGCAGAATTAATTAAAGCATTTGTGACTCCATATCAAAAAACACATACCTTTTCCGTGTTAAAACATGGTATGATTTTTACCCTGTATATCATTGCGTAAGTTCGATTAAATAATAGCAAATAGATCTTTCTAATATAATCCTAAAACATTCAAGTCTGTTTGTGTGAAATGTCACACAAGGATGATGATGTGATTGCCGGCGTACGCGCCGGGCGCCACCGAGCTCAGTAAATACTAAATTACTGGGATTTTTTTGCATCTTTCTCTGGATTTTTAAGAATATTACGCTGCAGAACCACGAATAAAGGTATCTACGTGGACAATATAAGGTATTTCTACGAATATTCCGAACAGTTACTGAATAATTTGCGCTTTTTCGTTTGCATTTGCAACAAATTTGGAGTTTTCAGTTAATTTTTCCTGAACGCGCAAGCGGACGACCGTTAGCTGACGAGTATACAATCATAAACGCCATTGCACGTGTGAATTAATTTAGCTTGCGCGTCGAAAAGAACGTTGAATTAGGACAAATTAGAAGAATTAAGTGAAATTCAAGATGTTTATACTACCTAAATTCAGTTAAATTTTTATTTTTCTGTGGATTATTTTTCGAAGTAATCAAATACTGGAGAAATACTGAATGCATCTTGTGCAAGATCGATTTCTGTCAATTTGGAATATCCCATGCAGTTTGGTCAACACGTATGATATCAGCAATGTTTTGAATATAACGGACAAAACAGAAATTTTATATTCTTCTCTGCTACGTCGCGTACTGAAAACTAAACGACGCGGTAGACTGAAAGCTCCTTTACATACATCCCAAGTTGACTGGACTAAACATGGACAAATTTATTTGTCGCCTCCAGATTTTCACAAGGACATTAATCTTACTGTGTATATGCATGCAGAGTCTAATCCCGGTCCAGCTGAACCAGATAATAATTTCCAATCAACCAGTAAAGTCGACACTACAAAAACATCGTCTAATGAAGGTAACGTTACGATTGCTTACCTAAATATCCGTTCCTTAAAGAACAAAGAGCACTACTTACTGGTAAAGGATTTTGTCCTGAAACAGAGACTGGACATTTTCACTATCTCAGAAACTTGGTTGGGGCAACTCTATGACTGATACTGAAATTGAATTTCCAGGATATAGTCTATTTAGACTTGATCGTGACGGAAAGAGAGGAGGTGGTGCCTGTGCCTATATCAACCATAGTTTCAAATGTGAGACCGTGAAAGACCTATCTTATATTGCAGACTCTGGCTTACCTCAGTTATGGCTAAAGATACAAGTTAGGAACTTCAGATCATTTTTCGTATGTACAGCTTAGCGTACACCTGGTACTAGTTTACCTTGTTTCGAGAAAGATTTCAGTGAAACCCAAACGTCAGTTTTGTCCTTCAACAAACCTATATCTACATCTTGGGTGATCTCAACCGCAATGTCCTAGATACGAATGACCCAGTACAGCGCTCTCTTTTTGATTTCTGCACTTGCTTCAACCTGACGCAGTTGGTCGATTAGCCTACCAGAGTTACTGAGCATTCCAGTTTATTGATTGACGTAATCCTTACCTCTTCAAAGAAAAACATCAAGCAAACGAAAGTCCTCCCAAATTGAATAAGCGATCATGATGTGGTTATGTCAATTCTGATCTTGAAGAAATGTCGTCCAAGCCCGTCTATGTCTCTGTCCGAAGTTTCAAGAATTACAACAAAGAGGCTTTTTGTGAGGACATATCAAATGATCCATGGTCCGT